GAACTTTGCTCAGTTTCAGGGATATTCGGTCCAACGGTTTCCACATAGAAACTAAAACTAAAAACAATACCGAATTCCTTGTTTTGACCAAAACGGTCAATAACCAGAAAAGGGAAATTGAAGAACTTCCTTCCTTTTCTTTAGGCCTGTATTATTCATATATCAGGCCCCAGCACTCATGTGTTGCACTCGCAGTGAAGTTTAAAGATACACATTCTTTCAGTCTATGGCATGACCGCTTAGGTCACCCTGGGCAAACTATGATAGGCCGGATTCTTTCAAATACAACTGGACATAACCTTCTTAGGACAAACATTCTTTCTACAAAAGATTACACATGTGTTCCATGTGCACATGGAAAACTTATTGTTCGTCCCTCATGTCCTAAGATTGATTTTGAGTCACCTGTCTTCCTGTAGAGGCTACAGGGTGATATTTGTGGACCAATTAATCCTTCATCCGGCCCATTTCGATATTTTATGGTCCTTATTGATGCTTCCACCCGATGGACACATGTGTGTTTGTTGTCCACTCGAAATATGGCATTCGCAAAATTCATGAGCCAAATCATTAAGTTGAATGCCCAATTTCCCGATTATCCTATTAAGAACATAAGAATGGATAATGCTGGTGAATTCACTTCGTCAGCTTTTGACGATTATTGTATGGCCATGGGAATTAAGGTGGAACATCCTGTACCATACGTCCACACCCAGAATGGTTTAGCTGAATCTCTTATCAAAAGAATTAAACTAATAGCTAGACCATTACTGCAACGGTCCAGTCTACCAGTAAATTGTTGGGGACACGCAGTGCTGCATGCTGCAAACCTAATTCAACTCCGGCCAACTGCATATCACGATTATTCCCCTCTACAACTTGTACGTGGTAATGAGCCAGACATTTCTCATTTGCGTGTCTTTGGCTGTGCGGTTTACGTACCTATACCACCTCCGCATCGTTCTTCAATGGGCTCGCAACGTCGATTAGGTATTTATGTTGGGTATGAATCCCCTTCTATCATTAAATACCTCGAGCCTATGACAGCAGATCAGTTTACTGCACGGTTTGCTGACTGCATTTTTGATGAAGATCATTTCCCGGCATTAGGGGGAGAGAAAAGCCCAGTTTTGAAAAAATGCCACGAAATTTCATGGGATGAAAAAGATCTTCAATATCTTGACCCACGTACTAGTCAAACTGAACTTGAAGTTCAGAAAATAATAAATTTGCAAAAACTAGCAAATAATCTGCCAGATGCGTTTACTGATTATAAAAGAGTAACTAGGTCCTATATTCCTGCAGAAAATGCTCCATCAAGGATAATTGTCCCCAAAGGACCAAATAATAACACCGACACTATCCGACGCCAGAAGCGTGGAAGACCAGTTGGTGCAAAAGATGTAAATCCGCGGAAAATTAAAAACAATAAACAATCACAGTTACTCCAAAATCGTCCTGAAGACGAAATACCCAGTGTAAATGCACGTGCTACAAATAAATCTAACACTGGGAATACGGAACACCTTCACCAAGATATGATAGCAAATGAGAAAGATTTGGTTGAAGTAAATATAGAATCTGCCATAAACTTTTTCGAAACAGGAGAAAATCTTAATAGAAATGTAACAGTCGTCGACGACCAATTCGCCTCTACAATTGCTCTTCACATTTCTTTCAATAATCTGGATCCAGAACCAAAAACTATAATGGAGTGTCGGAAGCGCTCCGATTGGTTGAAATGGAAAGAAGCAATTGAGGCTGAGCTCAACTCGCTAAATAAAAGAAAAGTGTTTAGTCCTCCTGTACTTACCCCTAAAGGCGTGATCCCAGTAGGATCCAAATGGGTATTTGTACGAAAGAGGAATGAACAAAATGAGGTGGTCAGATACAAAGCGAGACTGGTAGCTCAAGGGTTCTCACAGAGACCCGGAATAGATTTTGAACAAACTTACTCTCCTGTCTTAGATGGCACATCGTTCCGTTATCTAATATCGCTGGCAGTAAAAATGAATGTAGAAATGCAGTTAATGGATGTTGTGACCGCATATTTATATGGGTCACTAGACGCTGACATATATATGAAAGTACCTGAGGGCATCCAAAATCCTTTATGTAAAGGAAATACAAATAAAAATATGTTCAGCGTAAAGCTACAAAAGTCATTATATGGCTTAAAACAATCAGGAAGAATGTGGTATTGTCGATTGAGTGAATTCCTCTTAAAACAAGGATATGAAAATAAAGATATTAGTCCTTGCATCTTTACAAAGAAATCAACTGATGGTTTCTGTATTATATCAATCTATGTAGATGATATAAACATCATAGGGACGAGCAAGGACGTCAAGAGGGCATGCTTGTGCCTAAAGGAGGAATTCGAAATGAAAGACTTGGGAAAAACCAAGTTCTGTCTCGGCCTGCAGATCGAGCACCTCCCTGAAGGGATATTCATACACCAATCCAAATACACAGACAAGTTATTGGAGAAATTCTACATGGATAAGTCCCATCCACTTAGTACTCCAATGGTAGTCCGATCACTTGAAGTTGATAAGGACCCGTACAGACCTAAAGAGGATAATGAGGATATTCTGGGACCAGAAGTTCCTTACTTAAGTGCCATTGGAGCACTTCTATACCTTGCCAACTGCACTAGACCTGATATTGCATTTTCAGTAAACATGCTAGCTCGTTTTAGTGCTGCTCCAACCAGAAGGCATTGGAATGGCATAAAACATATCCTCAGATATTTGCAAGGTACAAAGGATCTTGGCCTTCTATTTAAAAGGAACCAAGACACCACATTAGTGGGATACGCGGATGCTGGCTTTATGTCTGATCCGCATAATGCTAGATCTCAGACTGGATATGTGTTTGTTTCTGGAGGTACTGCCATTTCATGGAAATCAGTTAAACAAACATTAGTAGCTACCTCCTCAAACCATTCTAAGATTATTGCCTTATACGAGACCTCCAAAGAATGTGTATGGTTGATGTCATTAATACACAATATTCAAGACTCGTGTGGAATAATGAATAATGGAAAGATCCCCACTGTCCTGTACGAGGACAATGCAGCATGTGTTGCACAAATGAGTAATGGATATGTTAAAGGTAATCTCACCAAACATATTACACCAAAATTCTTTTATCCACATGAACTCCAGAAGAGTGGTGAAATACGAGTCCAAAAGATCCAATCAAGTGAAAATCTAGCAGATTTATTCACTAAGTCCTTACCTACATCTACTTTTGAAAAGTATGTATATAAAATTGGTATGCGTAGATTAAGAAGGTTGTTGTCTTCAGGGGGAGCAACAACATCTTCAAAGTAATGAAATTGTTAGTCCAGAAGATTAACTCATTCACTTCGATCCAGAAGATCAAAGACATACTCTTATGATTTATACCTAAACCCAGAAGGTTTACGATTGTACTCTTTTTCCCTTAACTGAGTTTTTTTCCCACAGGGTTTTCTCAGTGTAAGGTTTTTAATGAGGCAACCGAAGCAACACATGCATTATCCATAAATCGTGTACTCTTTTCTCGACTAGGTTTTCCCACAGAATTTTTCTAGCGAGTTTTTAACGAGGCATGATTATGGCAAAATAATGTCCAAGGGAGAGTGTTATAAATCAAAATCTTAATGGACATTATTATGATAATTTGTAACAGCTGAAACAGTTTTTGTACTTAATGAGAAGGTTACATTTGTACTCTATATATTATTGTATTCATGTACAGAAGTTGGAGATAGTAAGGCAATAAAATTGTTCTTCTCACTTTTCTTTATCTTCTTCATACTGCTCTTTGTTTCACTGTTCCTGCGAGCTAAGGTCTGCAAAAGTTACCAACAAACTTGCATTACAACATTAATGACTTTATTGACATTTTTGCATTTGATTATTTCTTAAAATTTTGTTAAATTAACTTCCGGTGCGATTTTTAATTTACAATTTTAACTTGATAGGCTTTTTTCAATAAAATACCTTTTTCTATGTCGTTAGTTTTTTTTTAATAAAACTAGCTATATTACATTGTAGTATCTGTTCATATACTTTCTCAACCTACTGAAACACAGAGAACTAATAACGCCTTCACTAAGGCTCGAACTTACAACCTTCTAAATGAAAATCCAACCCGGGTACCATCAGACCACATAGTCCTGGTTGTTAGTTATATCATTTAATAGTGTTTTATCAGTAGGAATAGATTGCAAAAATTGTGAAAGTAAAAGATTGCAAGGGAAAAGGGTCAATTAGACCCTCGAACTTTGACTTAAAAGTCAATTAGGCCCCTAAACTTTTTAAAGGTGCAATTACATCCATCAACAATTCATTTAGGTGCAATGAAGCCCAAAAACAAGTTAATGACCTGCTATCACAAGTCATTAGGGTTCAGTCCACCTCCCGGTGATTTTGCTGACAAAAAGAAAGTGACCGGCGAAATTTCCGGCAAAAAAAAGTGATCGGAAATTTCGGCAGTCACCGAGCACTTTTTTATAGAAAATTTCGTCGGTCACTTTTTTTTTTTTGCCAAAAAATTCGTCAGAAGGTGGCCCACCTGAACCCTAATGACCTGTGATAGCCAAAGTTGATGTGTTGATGTGTTTAAATGAATTGTTGATGTGTGTAATTACACCTTTAAAAAATTTAAGGACTTAATTGACTTTTAAGCCAAAGTTCGAGAGCCTATTTGATCATTTTTCCTAATAATAATAATAATAATAATAATAATAATAATATTATTATTATTATTATTATTATTATTATTATTATTATTATTATTATTATTATTATTATTATTATTTAATTGTTAAGTTTTCAAGATAATACCAAACATGTTAATTAATTTTCCCTCTTAAGTTATTCCCATCAAATATATTCTTTGAAAACATTTTTACTTGATGGGAAAGAACCAAATACACACTCGTCAAAAGATCTTTTTATTATTCATATCAATGGATTTAAGATTTGACTATTGCCAAATGCCAAGGATGCTACTGTTACACTTGTTAGGGGCATGGTTTTTACCCAAGAACAGAACTGTTTACAAACAAAATAAACCCATTGCATGCATCAACATTCACATAAGTACACAATTATACTAAAAAAATTTAAAAATTCACACCCACAGTACTCAACTTTACCGACATAGTTTGGACAACAAGAACAAATATCATCAGTGCGGATTTAAAAATTAGCGTGACGAGCTCTCAGGAAGGATAGGTTCTCCAGTGAAGGGGTCAAATTTGAAAGGTTCCCCAGTGAAAGGATCAAACCTTACTTGAGATCGAGTAGGTTGATGATCAGCAACATTTGCGGTGTAAGAGTTTAATCCCACTCTCCCATAAGCTGCAGCGGAACTTGGTGGTACCTGCAGACGGGCATTAGCTTCCTCTGCTCCTCCTCTTAAAGTTGCTACAACTCTCCCATAAGCTGCAGAAGAACTGGGTGGTACCGGCAGACGAGCACTAGCTTCCTCTGCTCCTCTTAACGTTGCTACAACTCTCCCATAGGCTGCTGCAGAACTCAGTGGCCTCTGCAGAGGAGGGCTAGTTTCCTCGATGCTGTAGAATGGTGGTCCCGCTCTGCCATAAGCAGCAGAAGTACTTGATCTAATCTGTAGGGGAGGGCTAGTTTCCTCAAGTCCTGGCGTCACTCGACCCTGCCATAAATGGTGTGGTAATGTTGGCGAATAGAGATCTCCGTATAGTCCAGACCTGCAATAAACGGAAACCAAAAGTTAATTGTTCGTGGCAATATTCTCAGAGATGGGAGCTCATGTGCAAGAATTGAACTCAGCAAGTACAAATACTTACCTACTACCAGGGGATGGCACATGTGGGCCATAGGAATCAACAGGGAGACGAATTTGTTTTGAGTACTGAACAGTATCAGGTTCCTTCAAAGTGGCATCCTCAACTCTAGAAAGACTTGGACTCCACTGCTTTCCTACCTTACCATAACGCTGGATTCAGAAAATCAAATTTGCTCATGAGTAATGAAGCAAGCTCATATGACAAGCTGCTTACAAATAAGAACTTACCAATCTGCTGCAAGATGCAGAAGATTGAGTTTTCTAAACAAGTTAATTTGACAACCTCAAAATATGAAACTTTTGCCTTGCAACCTTATAAACAGGGGTAAATTACATACTTTAGCAATTAATCCTTCAAGATATGCTCCTTTGTTTTGCACATCCGCTCCAGATAACATAAACTATATAGGAAGATGCAAGAAAAGGGAATTATGGGATAAGCTTTGCAACATCAGTAAAGGGAAGTTGCTTTCAAAATTTATAAAAACATAAAACCATGTCAAACCTGATCAAGAATAGATATGGCTGTAGATTCCGGTAACTCCTTAAGACGGGTTAAACTTTGAACAGTTACCTGTCAAGACAGTCATATCCAAAAATTGAAGATGTTGAATTAGGTTTATCTCATCTAAATTTAGAATTCCATGACAAAAGCACAAGACAATTAGCAATTGCTAATAACCAGATATAGAATGCAATTCCAATTCATGAGCTCAATCTATCTGACAACTCTTAATTTTTAACATCCAAGGTATAGGAAAAAAAACATGAGCAAATTTAAGACTGTCATTGAAAAAAAAAAAAAAAAAAAAAAATCATAACATCACACTTACATCATATCTAGTAGCAATGCCAAGCCGCATGATCCTCAGTAAACGTTCAGTGATAACAGCAGGTAATGCAACTATAGCAGCTTCATAAGGATCAGAAACTTTGACTTCCTGATAACATGTAAAATATATAACTAAAAACAAATCCGTTTTTCATATATGCATCAATGCAATGAGATAAAAGAAATGTATGTTTGCAGTCAGTTGACACTTAGTGACCCCACTTCTCCAGATCCCTTCCCTAAGTTCACCAGTGTAGGAAGGTAATTGTTTAATTTTCTATAAATCAATTTGTTGAATTTAACCTGCTCTTAAAGCATGGAGAACAAAAGACAATAGAATACAAAAAAAAAAAAAAAAAAAAAAAAAAAACAATAAGAGAGGACAAAAATGAATTAAGTAGGTCAAGACTGATCAAGTGATGGATTTGTAAGCAGGAAAAACATCAACCTCTGGTTCCTTGGAATGCTTCTGAATGTTGCTGGATGGCTTGCTTTGTGACTCATCACGAACACGCTTCTTGCTTTTGTCCATGGGCCTTGCAACTTCAACCTGTTATAAAAAGAGGTCTGTTCAAGTCTAACTGTACATCTCACAAACATGCAATGTACATCTATAACACAACTCAACTAAGCCGTTGTCCCAATCAACCACATGGGATCTTTTATTGGATTCCACTTCTACATTCCTCTCTCTTTAACACTTATTCAGATGTAACCCCTTGCAGATTCAAAAAAATTTGAGATTCCATAATGACTCATATGACCTGAAGTTTATATGGTGGCCCTCCATTTGGTCCTGGTACTGTTTTGTCATTCAATTCCTTGATAGCATTGTCAAGATCCTATCATCAGAAGAGAATTGATGTTAGAGTATCAGACAGTAATAAAACTTAAAAGATACCAATTCCATTGCTGAAAGCCTTTTAATATTTCCTCCTTTGGAGAGGTGCAGCATTTGAGCCCATATTTTTGGTAACAATATCTCTTGGACCAGATACTTTTTCTTGTTTAGGAACATATGTTTTGCTAAGATATGCTCTGATATAGTCATATAACCATGTAATAACATGCTAAAAGTCTACTCGTAAAAGAACTTAGGTGATAACTAGAAATTCAAGGTGATGCTTTATTGAAAAATAGTTGGCTAGCTTCTGGTACTTAAATTTTAGACAAACACATCCAACAAAGATCAATACACTGATACATTATATGCAAAAAGGTTAGTAGATGTCCTCCAGAATCATGAATGCAAACCGCACTTACAAGCCGTGAATCAAAGTGAACAAATCCCACCAAGGAGTTACCCTTCTTCGGCAGCACTACCTTCTCTACCTGGAAGATGCATGATTAGCAAAAAGTTATTTCTTAGATATATCATTGGTTTAAATTGAATTTGAAGTTTGAAATTTGAAATATAGTTATAGTCAATCAAAAAAAATATAACAATCAAAATCAAAATAGTTACTAAAACTGGTATAAGACCTTCCCAAATCGCTCAAAGAGTTCCCTCAAGTAATTTTCATCAGCTTCAGATGGAAGATTTCTAACAAAGGCTATTTTGATCTGGCAAATCAAATAATGTGAGTAAGAGTCACTTCAAGAACTTTCTACTCAAACATTTAAGAAGAAACCAATGAATAACCTTAGCAAGTTCTTTTTGATCAATTTCTTGTTCCTCCTCAGCCCATTGAATAGCTGGATGCAAATTACCAAGAAGGAATTCTGAACTGGTTCCCAACCGATATGCACGAGATGCAGCCTGTGATTGATAATTTTGGAGGCTGGTTCAATTTTCTTAATAGAATTTATATTTTGGATTTTACAAGCCTTTTTTTATTACATTAGCACCAGAGTGATTAATAAAATGGACGTTGGGTATTGGACTGATATAGAGGCAGTATAGTTATCATTTGTTTTCCAGGCTAATTATTCAACATATGATGTTTTTTGGAGGGAGAAAAAGTTCAACAATTGGTTCATGTCATTCAATATGGAAATATATATAGGAGTTTAATTAGAGTAAATTTCTCTAGTATTGATATATTAATTGAAAGAACATGCTACAAGATATTTTCTAAAACCTTGGTCATTCAAAAAATAAATATGATATCTTTGACAAGGCCTACATCAGAAGGTTTTGGATAGAAATTGCTTGACAAAATTAAATAACACCAAACATTAAAGGATCAATTCAAAAGGAATGATCAACCATATAGTATTGTGATCTAAATACTCCTTCATAGAGCACCAAAGGTAAATTGATATGTTTGAGAAGTTTGCTAAACAAACAAGATACTTTAAATCTATATCATACAGACTAAATAAAATGACTAGGAAGAAAAAGGCATAAATAATAAATTATATTTAAAAAAAAAAAATAGCAATGATAGCAGACTTTGATGTTGAGTCTACTAAGTTTCAATGAGAGAGTGACTGAAGAATTGAAAGATAATTGATTTCTGTCTAATATCAAGAACTAAAGAAGAGCCTGGTCAACCTAAAGCTGAGTGAACTTCAAAGAGCCACCTAACACAGCAAAGCTACAACTAGAGAGAACACATGGGAGTGTGGGACTCCAAATTCTGAATTGAAAACTCCAAGTAAGAAAACATAAACATCAATCAGTTTATCAGTCCATTTAAATAACCCTACATATATTAAACATGTATCATATTAAATACAACAGACAATTCCATGAATGGCTAAACACTACATTCTGCCAGGAAAGCAGAATGGTTAGATGGATGCTTTAAGTTCCAGCAGAACTTCAACACAAATTTATTTAGAAAACAAACTTCATTTACACCACACCCCCACCCAAAGGGTGCCTCTCAAGATAGATCAGTACTCAATGGAAATTCTTTCCTTCAATCCTTCCGATTATCACCATTCAAATAATTAGTACGGAGTATTTGGAAATTTTTTAGGGACATACAAAGAAACTCATTTGGCAACCTTATATCAGCAACTTTTTTCTCTGCTGTGTGTCATGTAAACAACAGATTAAGGGAAGACAACTTTTACATGTGAACAATTAAATTGTCATTAAAGTTTAAAAAGACACAAGAATCTATGTTGTGAAAACATTTTAGTAGCCAAAGCCCAAATGTTGGTAACATATATATATATATATATATATATATATATATATATATATATATATATGAAAAAGATAGGGCAGCCCATATAAGAAAATTCAGCGAGTAAGAAGAAAAGGAGGCACCAAAATTGAAAATTAAAAAAAGGCTTCCTGACATGATGGAAGAAAAAAAAAAAAAAAAAAAAGTGAAGAAACAAGATTGTGCAAGAAACAAAAGAAAAATAAATTGTATTGTTTGAAGAGTAAGAAATAAGTCAAATCAAATAAGAGATAGCAAAAGAAGATTCAGAGGAAAAACTGGGGTATAGAAATGTAACATTTTCCTAAAGTTATCCTGTTTGCACAGATTTCTGACATGGAATAAATGCATGAAAGTCCCGAAGTCACAGACAAAGAGAAGAAAAAGTTCAAGCATCTCAATTAATTGGAATAATACAAGTTTGATCCACAAAGAGTGATTTTTTAAGGAGATCTGATTTGGCAATTGGAGCAAATTCTGAGAGTATACAGTTAAGTTTTGAGATGCAGCTACTAGATTTTTGGTACATACATTTGATATTCCTACTCATTGGTTACAGAAACATATAAATTTATTACAAATTTGGGTATAAAAACCAAAATGTTATTTAATGGAGTCAACAAAATTGTTTTGAGATACAGTTAAGTTTTGAGATACAGCTAAGTTTTGAGATACAGCTACTAGATTTCTGGTACATACATTTGATATTCCAACTCATTGTTTGCAGAAACATATAAATGCATTACAAATTTGGGTATACAAACCAAAATGTTATTTAATGGAGTCAACAAAATTGTTAAGAGAATAAGTTATATTTGTTTTGTTCAGTGAGGATCCTAATGGGCATTTTGTGCAGTGTAGTTTTGGTATCCAAATAATAAGTTTTTGCTACATAGAGTTTATATTCCTAAGTATCCTAACCAATGTTTTCATGAATATATACAAGTGCAATAATTTGGATATATTAGCCAAATATTATTTAATCGAGTCTAAAGAATTGTTTAAGAGAATAAATGCTTGCTATCTAGTTTTCAATATTTTTAGGTCTCACATTCAGTATCTGATAATGCTTCAGCATCTGAGAATTAATATTTTGTTTGATATATATATATATATTTGGGTTTCAAAATAATTATGGCACCATATTGAATCTGGAACCAAGAATCAGAACACAGGGACCTGAGATTTTATCCTGTAGGATATGAGATGCAACAGGTAAGTAACACTATTGAAGTTGGAACATGTCAACACAGCCAAATACTTGTTAAAAAACAACCACAAGAATTTTAAGATAGAAAGGGAAGGAGGATTTACAGCATGAGATGAGAATTTAACAAAAGCAAAGCCCCGATTCCGTTGCTTTTGACCAGCTTGCAGATCTCCATGCATTACAAGATTAACAGATACAACACCTGGAAAAACCTGTTTGGAACTTGGAAGAAATGAGCATTGATACAAATCTTTCTCACAAGCCTAATTAACTGCAACTGTAATTGTACAAAACTAATATTGGTACCTGGTGTATAAGGTTTTCAAATTCCTCAGCACTCCAACCTTGAAATGGGAAATTCAAATCATGCAATAAGGTAGCCAACAAGAAATTTTAATTTATTATTCAAGAGAAGATTTAAATTATAAAAAAAAAGGAAGAAGAAGAAGGGAGGCAAAAGGCATTATGAAAAACAAAGTTATTGCAAATTGAACAGACTTAAGACAATAATAAAGTGCCATTTGCATGTTCAAAATCCATAAGGTTTACTTTTAAAAAGCTCATACAAACGCTTAGAGGTCCTAGTAGTCCAGATTAGGGAGCATTATCAGCCTGAGATAAGGGCTGAATTATGGGTTATGATGGGATTGTTATTGGACTAATCTGATGTTTGGTTGTGAAATTAATCACGGAAAAATGAATTGGAGTAACAATACTATGTTTGACTTAAAGGACTAATAATGGGATCACTAGATGGATGCAAAAAAAAAAAAAAAAAAAAAATCATCACCAATACACCAATAGCATTGAGAGAACAAGAGGATGAAAGGTCAGCAAATTAACACAAGCCTCACCTCACCAAAAATGGCTAGCCTTAGAATGCATAGTAACCAAAAGCATGGCAATGTATCCATGTTGTGTTTGTGTAAGGCACTAACATTCCTAGGAAACTATCTAGAGATTAATTGCACACCAAAAAAATTGTCTCGAGTTTTTCAAGGGGCATGTATCCTTGTTAGGGGATACATGCAGGACACCAACTGATGATGGATTGATGGTGATGATGAAGTTGAAGTTCAAAAAATGAAATTTAATTCTGTTAAATTTCAATGACTTGTGTAGTAGGCTAATAGCACTTCAGTAGCTTCATCAATTCTTTGAATCTTTATAGGATATTTCATGCTATAATTCTCTCGTCATTTTGTGTTGATTATTGTCTTTTTTCATATCATTTTTCACTTGATTTGCCATTTGATATGTATAATAAATTAATAATTCACAACATTAAAATATTGTTCTGGCATTTGAATTCTATGCCCATTGCTTTAATGTTCATCACCATTGAAATGCATTTTTAGCAATGTGATAAATAATCTTTAGTGACGGGTTGAGGCTAACACATCCATGTGAACTAGGGTTCATAGCACACCCATAGGGTGCAAAGCAGCAAAGGTGGGTGGCAGTCACTACATACAATACCAACCCACATTGGATAGCAATCCTGGGATTGCTAACCATGTATCCAAATATAAATATAATCCCCACAGTTTTGGGATTATTAATACAACTAGCCAAATCTCAGGCGTAAATTATGTATCAAATATTTCCCCCTTCAATCCCTTGACCCAAATGAATCTTGAAGTTCTTAAGGCAACAACAATGAGAAGGGAGACAAAACACCAGAGACTCAACCAAGATCCCATGAATACATAAAATTTGACTAAAAATATACACAAGCAAGACATTTTCAAAAGATATAATGGACCAATCTTTATAATAAAAAATTTAGGCTTCAAAAGTCATGATGGTTCTTACAAAGTAAGCAACGGAATACCTATTTAAGGAACCAGTGCACATGTCTTACAATCCACTATATAATATGAAACAAACCTTTGTTAAGATTCCCAAAAAATAATGTATCCTGCTCTATTGAAGGGAGAACACCAATCTTCCGTCCATCTATCTGAAACAATAACAAATCAATGAGACTAAAACATTTCCTGTTTAGTTTGTTGTAATATAGGAAAACCCTATCATAGCCGTAGGATTAGCCCACTATGCAACCCATAATGTTCCTATATAAGCATATGTATCACTCTTAAAATGAATGCATTACAATAATATTAATATAACCATTATACTTCTCCTTAAACTCTACCACTCTTGATGGAAGAAAGCCTTTCTTTTTTATGTTGTGTCGTAGAATAATTATGCCGCCGTCTTGTTTTGAGGCTGTTCCTTTATGCCTCTGTCCCTTGGTAATTTCATCTTCATTCCAAGTGTCATGTGTAATGCCATGTTTTCTAAAGCTACTCATATTTGACACCATCATCTTCTAGACATGTCTAATAGCTTTATCCTCCTATTATTAGTTTCAAGTAAGATGGAGTGTTTGTCTTAATTCAAGCTAGCAACATTTAAAAGTTCCAGTTTGAGGGGGATTGCTGAAATATAGGAAAACCCTAAAGTAGCCCTAGGATTAGCCATAATATTCCTATATCAGCATGTTTATCACTCTTATAATGTATAAATTACAATATATCAATATATTCATTATACTTCTCTTTTTCTAGGGTTTTCATATATTAGCTTCCGCACTTCTATCCCTCAATTTCAGCATAGTCTTCTCTCTCATACCACAAATCGCTTAATACTTCAAGCCTACGGTTAGTAAGCAGGGTAAACTCATATCTGCACTTGGCATCCATTTTTACCTTCTCTATGGAATTAAAGCTCAACAATCATGTGCACTGTATATGCCTGGGCATGCAAATTGAACAGGGCATTGAAAGAAAATGGCTGTACAAAGATGCATAAAGTGTATCCCACATTGCATGCTACATTAAAGAGTGGTACAGAATTGAATTTGAGTCTCTAGCCAAAACAATATCTCAATTAAGATAAGGAAAAAGTCCTTCCTTTCTAAATCATTTTCAAGTAAATCCTTCAAAAATCAGAACACAGATATCCATATTTTCAAAGATACATCATTACTTCCTTAATTTTAGAATTCTAATATTTCAAAGTTGGTTATTAGCATGCATGCAAGTTGCAGCAGCCTTAAGAAGGAAACCATGAAAGATATGTGGCAGTAAGCAGTTCTCAGCACTGTAAAACACTTATATGTCTGGTGAAAACTGAAAATAGAGTTAGGCTTACAACATATCCAGACTTTTCCTTTACAGCTTTTTCTGCAGCCTCTTTTGTTGCAAAACGTACAAACCCAAAACCCTGTGACAATTGAAAGAATCAGATGTGAAACAATAATATCCAATATCTTCTTTACCTCAGCTTCACTCATTCCATTTTGCTGCAAGAGATTGGGTACAAACAAGCAATAAATATAAAATAACAATAACAATAACCTTTAGGTTGCCACTCTGGTCCTGTATCAGCCTTATTTCAACAATTTTGCCACAAGTAGAGAATACCTGAGAAGAAGTAGATTTTGTCTTGTTTATGATAATTGCTATAAGTAACCAGATATGAGATTAACTACTTCAGGTTGAAATAATTGCTTTTCTATGACAGCAATAATCTGCCAAGAACTAATCAAATCGCACTGCATGTATTATACTATTATTATAAGCTACTCTTTAGGGTTTTTTTTTAAAAAGAAACAGCATAGAAACGATTTAGAATTTGAATTGAAACAGCCACTTATGTGCAATGACAATATAGAGACCATAAGGAGTTAAGAATAAGTTATAATAGTGCAAACTAGATTGGGAACAACCTTAATTAGGCTTCATAGATCAGGCTTGAATCACAACATTGAAAAATAGATGAATATTTTAAGTCTAAAAGAGTAGCAAACCTCTCTGATCTTGTCTTCAGTAACAGTACGGGCCAAACCACCAATAAAAACTTCTGAACCTTTATTAAAAGGATTCTCTGACAGACAATAAGCCGTAAAGAAACAGATCAAAAACAGTCTTTTATAAACATAACATACACCTATTTTATTTTAGGTACATGAAAGTTTAATTCAGAGGAGGCTAGCCCAGTTCAAGACCAAGGGATACCACAAGTCTCAAAGAGGACTTATGGTAAAATTTACTGATTGCCCGCCCACCCATGGGGACTGCTAATGGTGGGAATCAAACATAAGGGACTGCTAATGGTGGGAATCAAACATGCATACAATACGAACTTATGTACTCCTATGTAAAGCAACAAATATTGTTTGAATCACAACGAAGTTGTTGCAGAAGAAACTGGCACCAGCGAATTTCTAAAAACCAGGTGCACTATCATATCCATAAAAAGATAATAGTCTGTGCTTTAAAATGCATTCTTCACTGGGAAAATGGAAATTTTTCAAAAAAAAAAACAAAAACAAAAACAAAAAAACAAAAACTAACGGTGTTCGGCTTGAAGATGCTCAGTCGAATGGCTCATCTGCAACGACAACAGAAAGTTATTAAGTAAGTTACAGGACAGAGAGCACATTGGCAATCTCAAATCAACACCAACTATTTCTACCTGAAACTCCGTAATTCAGGTTTTTTATTAACTTATTGATCATCATTTTTCATTAGTGCATATAAATTTATAATGAACCATAAATTTCGTCGCGCTAGAAATACGTAAAGGGAAATAAATTACCAGTGCAGGTGATGAATTGGAGCTTCAGTTGCAGTTGGTCAGTGCGCGGTAATTGGAACTGGAACCCTAAAATTCCAGCGAATTGTCACTGCTCGAAGAACGGTGGCCGCAACTTTTCCCCTATGTATACCGGGTTAATAAAGTTACCTATTTTATACTCTTCTCCTTGGAGCAATTTAGACAGACTTGTCAATCGTGTATTCGTGTTTTGTTCATTTTGAAATTAAGGTATTAATAAAAGTGTGGGTCATACAAATTAGGAAACAATTTCAAATTAGCCACTAAAGTATACATGAATATGCAATTAGATCAACTAATTTAAAAAATATATATATAATTAACTCCCTGAACAAGTTAAAATCATACAATTATAAAAGTGATGTGTTATAGGTTGTAGGGTACTGGGAATGACAATATTTGGAATGGTGCTCCCTTCATATGCAATAATATATCTCACTCATCCTTGTCTTTTTTTATCGAACTAGAAGGTTGTAAATGATTGTCCAAAGATGCGGCAAACTGGGACTAATAAACAAGTTAATTAAATGGAGATTGACGTCGCATGGTCGGTTGAAGCTAAACACTGACACCGCATTTGATGAAGGTAATCACGTCATGGGGTTAGGCTGGGTTCTGCGAGACGATTGTGACAGTTTCTTGGCTGCTAAAGGAATGCGCATTGATGAAAATTACAGTGTCAAGGAAGTTGAGGTGGTGCGCATTCGTGAGGCCCTTAGTTTAAGGGTACGGAATGGGAGATGTTGACATTGAAACAGACTCTCAATTAGTTTATTATACTTTGTGTTCGGACTCTTTTATTTCTTCATTTGGTTTTATTATTGATGATGTGAAGGAAGTTGCATCTATGATTAGTGGTGTAGACTTATGTTTTGTGAACGATCTGCGAATCGTGATCCCCGCACTGTTGCTCGGGAAATATTGTTGGGAATGGTTTGATAATCCTCCCCTTTTCCTTGTTGATTGTATTTTATATGATTTAATGAATTAAGTTCTCCTTCTAAAAAAAAAAAAAAGGTGACATGTTCTTTCATGTTAACCGTTGACGTAGGCTAACTCTATCCTTGAAATGATGAGGTTTGCAAAATAATGTGGAAAATGGGATAATATTTTTATTTTTTGCTTGCCAAGTGTGTTGCAAGCTTGCAACACCCTTAGAGCATCCATAATGGTTTAGTTTTTCTTGTGGTTTTTAAGGAGTTTTTGTAAGTGTGATTAGTAAATGAGAAAAAAAAAAAACAAAATTGTTTATGAAAAAATAATAAACAACAAACTGTCAGGCGCGTTGGTCAACGCGCTTGACGCATTCGTGTTGGCATTTGTTGTGCGCACCTTCAATTTTATTTTATTTTTTTTCCAGCTTGGCCCTCCATGTTACTATTCCAATAACTCAAACCTTGAAGATGAACCCAATTTCTCTCTCTCCTACATTCTTTCTCCAATTTGTCAGTGAATTCTGATCTCTGCCATAATCTCCCAATTAACCACTGATATTGATGCTCATACAAAGCTGCCAAATGACAGCTTTTGTATTTTTTAAACAAAAAAAAATTTATTATTATTATTATTATTATTATATATTTATTTATTGAAAGTGAGATAGTATTGCATAAATATAGAATAAATAATTAACGAATTGTAAATTTGATGATGTGAAAGTAAGATCTACTTTTGAAAATGAGAGAGTATTATAGGGATAAAAATAGCATAATAAATTGTTTTATTTATTTATTTTAAGTATTAAAAATTTTAAGAAAATAAAAAATCCAACCCCACCCCTTCCCAGCTCCATCCGTCGACCCCGCACTTCCTCTCCAATCAGAGATGAACTATATATATACTAGGGGTGTAAATGAGCCGAGCCGCTCGCGAGTCGCTCATGAGCAGTTCGGTCAACGCTCAGCTCGAACTCGGTCAAAATTGAGCTCGGCTCGAACTCGAGCAGCTCGTGGATTAAACGAGCACGAGCCGAGCTTAGGTATTGTAAGCTCGCGGCTCGACGAGCCGCTCGACGAGCATCATAATATATTATATAATATATAATATATAATATAATTATATTATAATTAGTATATAAAAATAATAATTAGCGGAGAGAAATTAAAATACTTTAATAATTATGTATGGATAAAAGTCATAAAACAAAGTAGTTTAAATTTTAAATCAAACAGGTCAAATTCCAGATCAAAATTGAGCTCAAATTCGAGCCTAAACTCGAGCTCGAATTCGAGCCTGAACTCGAGCTCAAGTTCGAGCTCGAGCAGCTCGACAATTGCCGAGCTCGAGCTCGAGCATCAGTTCACAAGCTCGAATGAGCTCGAGCTTGCTATCATTAACGAGCACGAGCATGAGCCTACCCATGCTCGGGCTCGGCTCGGCTCGTTTACACCCCTAATATATACTAGTGCAAACCCACATTTATTTTTCAAAGTCGAATAACGGCTATTTACAAGCCTTCCCAACACAAATAGGTTTATTTTGGAGTTAATTTAATTGGAGGTCCCTTGTTTTTAGTGGTGATTCCAACTTTAGTTCAAGAGTATCATTTTGCCATTTAACATCGCAATCTATCATATTTTAGACATTTTTGATCATTCCGATGACTTTTCCGATGAAACCCTATTTTAAACAATGCCATTATGTTTTGATTTTTGGTTTTTAATTTCGCGATTCATCTCTTCGCCTTCAGCCGTGGATTAACTACCTTCATTTTGTAGATTAACCGTTATCTTCAGACAACAATCATCATTCATCGTACTGCAAAGCGGAAAAGAGGAAGATCTTTGTTGTTCATTTGGTATTGAAACCACCACCCATCTTTCAAAGCTTCAATCATTAACTCTATTAATCGTTATAGTTTGACTTGCTCCCATATTTGCTTGTTCTTATATCATTATATGTACTATCAATAACAAAGAGAAAGAAACAAATATGGAATTACCGAATTAGATGCATGGAAACTATTTCAAATAATTTATTTCATGTAATATATAGTACTGCATGTGATTATATTCTTCTTCCCATAATCGTTGTCATTTACAACCATGGCTTCTTCACATTCAACGGACAACTGCCAGAGATCCATCACCTCTTTGATGAGGCCCCTCAATCCACCCGCAGATTCCGACTGAAGGAGATGGAAGTTAATTGACGGCTGAAGCATGAAGGGGAAGAGAAAAACCCAAAAAATAAAATAAAAAGCAAAAACCATAATATAAAACATGAAAATATAAAATAATAATAATAAGAGTAAATACCCAAAATGGTCCCTCGACTATAGTTAAATTCACAAATTGGTCATCGACTTTCAATTTCAACCAATAAAGTCCTTAACTTTGTAATTTTAACACAATTTGGTCCTCTGTCTATTTGACCGTTTGTTAACTGTGATTTTTGAGGATATATATGTAATTTCATGGTCCATCGTCGGGTTTTTAAGGTTCCGGTTGCATTTTCAGACCGCACTGTTACATTTGAATCCACTGCAAAATGAAATCTACCAAATCCGGTCGCCTTTCTTCATCCTCCCTTTGGATTCAATGTAGTTGAGTTCGTACCAGGGCGAAGACGACGACGTGTTTCCGAACCGGTGCAACGTCATCCTAGAGGCCTCCATGTGCTCCGACGAGAGCTGAAGGTTCTTCTTGGAGATCGTCGATCACGGTCAACAAATGGTCAAATAGATGGATGACCAAATCGTGTCAAAATTGCAAAGTTAAGGACTTAATTGGTTGAAATTGAAAGTCAAGGACCAATTTGTGAATTTAGCTATAGTCGAGGGACCATTTTAGGTATTTACTCTAATAATAACTAAAGAGACAAAAATGTCCTTATCTAAAATATAGTTTCACTAGAAAAGTCATTGGAATGATCAAAAGTATCCCAAATATGATAGTCTGTGTCTCTGTGATGTTAAGTGACAAAAACGATACTCTGGGACTAAATTTGAAATTGTCACCAAAGACAAAGGACCTCCTCTAATAAATTAACTCTTTATTTTGAGAATCAATTTCTCGCTCATCAATTATTCATTTTGTACATATAATATATCAAATTAAACATCTCACTCATGAAAACTCAAATCCACTTTGACCTGACCTAAACCTGAAGTGAACCCATTGAAAATTATAGCACAAAATGACAACTTTAAATACAATTTAAACCAATTTTTTCAACACCATTCACAAGTGGAAGTGTTAGCCTATTTTTGCCTATAATGAGTGATTGATCACACATATTTTTTACCCCATGTTGTTGCTTATTTTGTGCATAGAATGATGTGTTTAATTGGAAAATTAGACTAACTATTCTGTATTTATGTATAGATTCTCTTAATTGCACGATAAAACGAAAGAGGAAGCAATTTGAAGCAAAGTTGACCATTTTAGAGCTAAAAAGTTCATGGAAAGGAAGCATAAGATCACTTTAAGGTAGACTGTGGAGAGAAAGCGCAGGAATGAGCACAACAAGGTCGTGACGCGATTTCAGCAACAGTCGTGGGCGTCAACACGCCTGTGAGGAGGACCGGCTCCAGTCACGGGCGTCGCCACGCTAGTGACGTGACCATCTCCATGGACGAGCTTCGGCACGTCGTTGTCGATGTCAGTGAGTTGTGCCCTGATGCGCGGCTTATTCTGTCATTTTAAGATCTAAAATGGAGATCAGAGACTAGAGAGATAGTGAACAATAGCGTAGGATAGAGAGAATAGAGTGAAGTTTTCGCACTTTAGGTCAATAAATTATTTTTCCCTTCTTCCAAAAGGATAAATTCTCTTATTTCGCATATTTGACTCCAAAAGGGATTATGGATTCATTCTATTTTTGAAGATAAGTGTCTATTGCTTTGTTTCCTAGTGTTGATTTATAATGCTTTACTTTAATGTTATTGCTTTATTGACTGATATGATGAGTGAGTTGTCTTATTCAGGACTTGGTATTCTAATGCTTATTTGATTTTTATTGCATAAAAGGGGTAAAACTCAATTTAGGGTTTCAAATGCTATGGGATATATCCTTTGTATTCTTGTGTTAATGTATGGTGCACACATCATTAACACTAATTTTGTAGGGATTCAATTGGGTTGACATTCCTAAAGCCCCATCTCACAATACATCTATTCCTCTATGAACATAGAGAATTTTAGGGACTAGATTGTTT